GCGAAAAGGTTGAGGATCTCTGTTTAGAGGGCATAGTTCGTTGTTCCTGCTGTTCCAAACAACCTTACAACTATGAACGAGTGTTTAATGAGGCCGCATGATATCCAACGATAAAACTTGAACGGTCTGGGTGGCGAAGAAATTCACATAGATTAACGGTCAATTATTTCATTTATTTGCTTTATTCAAAAACTCGTCTGCAGCCACACGTTCGATCGACGTTCTTGTTGATTCGGCAAGGAATTGAAAGTAAAGTTCATGAAAAGAGGGACAGAAAAGGCAAGAGAGGTTGAAGGGCTAGAAATGAGAGTCAAAGATTACATTAATAGAATTGAAGCGTAACAGGCATACAAACATCAAGTGTTATAATAGGGCTGGAAATAAGCATATGCACACGATACCTGTCCAGCCCAAAAATCACGTCATTGCTCCCTAGCAATATTGCAAAATTCCAACAAGACCAACAACAACCCGCTATGATTCTCACCGTCATGAATGCGGCTGATGAAGTCAAAGGAATTCATTAAAACTCTAGTTTTCGCGAGTTTTAGCTCCATTCTTTAGAAATCATTGTGTCTCATCTATGAGAAGGCAACTGCAGCCTGTTGAGCAGGGTAAGCAGCAACTTAATGATTATCGGATTTATGTGTAAGAAATGTGGACAAAAGAACCGGGAGCAAACAACAAAGAAGACGGAGCACGAACAAAAGATTTACTGGAGAAATTGAATTATGACGAATAAATAAGGCCTTTTTCACGTATATTTTTCACATTCACGCTAGTGAAACACAGCGTTTCTGACTTTATACGAAATCCTCCAAACTTACATGTAATCTCTGTCGCTTTCGCAAATAGTACAGCCATTGGAGAACCTGCTGATCTTCAATGAATTTAGCATTTGCTCCTAAATTTTTGACAGGGTGAATGGAACAAACAGTGGCAGATAGGAAGGGAGGAGGAGAACAAACAAACCTGAGGTAAGGGCCTCACGGAAATTACTGCACTGAAGACATTCGAGAATATGTAGGCACTGCGGATATTTCAGAGCCCTGTAACGAACAATTCATTCACTTGAAACCGACGGAAAGGAGCGACTAATGGAACTCATATTCACTCCCAGTATCTGACGAAAACAAGAGAAAAGCAACTGATTTCTTATAACAGTGATAGGAACAGAAAAACCGAGCACCTTTCTATCCGATCAGACTGTTTATTTTTAATTTTATTTATTCATTTATTTTCCAAGGAAGAAGTCTTAGTATTCGGTCATTTAACACATGCTTGCATTGTGCTTTGCAGTTTTACAAAGTCTAAGCGTAAACAACATTTCCGAAAAACCTAAGCAACGCACTATTGACTCTTTTTGCTAGAAGAGTGAGAATTCTAAGTATTTACCTGGCATACTCTGGTTGTTTCCAATATAAAAGGTACTTCAAGTAGTTGATGAAATGCTGCTCCTTTAGGAAACCACGTTGTGCCAGAACTAAACCATCAGATTCTTTACACTGCGCACAATGTCTAATTAGCAAAACTTATGATCGAACAGAAATGCAGGTGAAAGTTGAATTATAACGTGAGGAATTTATTTCTATTCGGAACACACTGGGAGGTAGTATTCTGAACAGAGAGACCCACAGGTCAGGCACCAATTAGGAACATGTCATCGCCGCCTTATTTGGCCTTTCTTCTCATGAATTGGAATCCCCTTCATGCTAGGGAGCCTTCTTAGAGAGTAATTTACATTCCTTCCGAATCTTGTGTCGTTTGATCACTAAAAAAATGAAGTGCAAATCTCTGCTCGTACTCAATCACTTTGTGCCGGCACCGCAATTCGTAACCTTTCACTGAGACAGTATATCATTAACGGATTCCATTACATACCGACTTCCTAAGTGTGGTAAAGGTCAACCACTCTTATGGCTTTCCGTCCTTTAAGTATAAATGAGAATTCCCTTCTGCGCGACTCAAAACACTCGTGGCCAAACTATCCTTTTCTCAAGGAATTTGTGTTGAGACGCACCAACGGCGTAAAACCGCTCAGCTCTATTTCCACAGGAGGAAAAACGAACCGACAATTTTTGTCGATTTGTGTGCAGGAAAACAACTTACAGTTCACATAATGAGGATTGGCGAGAGCCTGGACAAACTCGCATTCGATTTCAAAGCGTCTCCTCTGTTCCTCTGGAGGTTCAAGTTGGGCAGTTGATAGCTGTACTAAACAAAACACCTCTGAATGACTTTTAATATGGGTACATCAAAGAAGCGATTTAACCCTAGCAAAATACTATGCATTCAATAGATGCCTACGTTCAGTGATACAAGTTGGACAGTACAGTGAAGTCCGTTAAGTCTTGCAAATCAAGTGCACAAACTTTTTCCAGGTAGACTTCAAGACTGAACGTTAAACTCGTAGTTTGTTTTCCGTGACTAGCTGCGCATTAATCGAGTTCTAACAAATCCTTTACAGCCGCGTATAGGAAAACAACAAGGAATACTCTATTCTTATTCAACTTAAAAACAGGACAATACAATTCCTGTGAACACATTTACGATTCTGCTCCTACCTAGCGATTACTTGCTCCTAGGTTATAGATAACAAAAAAACCTTCAGTTACCTAGTGTAGGTGAAGCTGCTGCTT